GAACCTTGATGCAATTATAAATAATAAATCGAAACAAATTGTTATAAGAAAATCTCCCTATGACGCATATATCAAGAGAGATTGTGAGAACCTCGATGGAAATAGGAAAGTGCGTGCCACAATTCCCACTAACCTAGATACAATAACAAAGTTCCTCAGAGAAAATCTTGCTGACATAACCACCTATATACATTTTTTATCTAAAGAATTGCGCCCACTATTTCAAGATAGTTCAACAAAGCACTTCCGCAATTTTAAACTAATTGAGTGCACTAAGTTGATAAATAATGTAGAGCAAGGTGAAAGAGAAATGATGATTCGATTTTCACATGAAAGCAAAACAAAACATCGTGGAATTCAAGAAATAATGAAACGACAAATTATTACTGGATATCACTGAAAGCTGACGTAACGAAATACATTAATAATTGTGAAATATGCCAAAGAGCAAAATACAATAGGAGACCTCCAGATAAACCTCCTATATTAACAGAGACACCCTCGAAGCCTTTCAAAATAATCCATATTGATACATTAATTATCGATAAACAAAAATTTTTGATAATCCTTGACAAATTCTCTAAATTTGGACAAGCCCTTCCATATTTTGGCACAGCTATAGTATTTTTAATAAAATCTCTTTTTTTTTAAAGATAAAAGTCAAAATGACATAATGTTGGCAATACAATGGACAATTGTCAAGTTTTCAAATTTTTCATGTAGAAAAGGCTTGTGTTGCCAACATAGTCACTAAATTTTTGACTTGGGGAATTATGTTTAAAAAAAAAACAGACTTTAGGTACCTATTTATACAGTGGCTAAATAAACCTTTACATACAGTGGCGACAATAGAGGTCCCGCCGCCATTTTGTTCCCAACCTCTTATTACTCTCAAATATTAATATATAGGATTTAAATAGACATCTATCATAAAAAATTGAAATCGACGTATTTGATGACTATTATTAGGACCACCAAATACGTTGTTTTCCATGTTTTATGATGGATGTTTACCCAAATCCCATATATTCATATTTTAAATAAGTAATAGGTGGGAACAAGATGGCCGCATTTTCCATATAAATATATGGGATTTTAGAACCAATCAAAAATAAGACAGCAATAATTGTCGCCACTGTGGGTAATAGAGTCACTGTACCTATTTAGAAGTACCTGTCGTTTTAGTGACAAAACGTATGTCGCTTCTTCACACACAAATAAAATTAGGTTAGGAATTTCCTATTTGTGTATGAAATTGACGTATTAGCAATCGACGTTCGTTTTTGTTGGTAATTTTTTGTTTCATCTGATTCGTGATTGATAAATAAGGATGGGGTTATTCTAAATGGGTATTACAAATACCTACTATATAAAGTTTGTTGTTTTTTTAAAGATAAAAGTCAAAATGACATTCTGTTGGCAATACAATGTAAAATTGTCAATGCTTCCAAATTTTTATGTAGAAAAGGCTTGTGTTGCCTACATAGTTACTAAATTTTTGACTTGGGGAATTATCTTTAAAAAAAAACAGATTTTATCAGCATGTCAAGGTTTGATTAATTTTTTCTAATTTTTAGTTATTCCCAAATTAATTGTTTCTGATAATGAAACAGAATTTTAAAATGAAGTTATTATAGTGATCTTTCAAAGACTCACAATATTAAAATTCATTTCACTACTCCTAGTCATCATGCGAATCCAATGGACCAGTAGAAAGACTAAATTCAACACTGATGAAACATATAAGAATTTTTTGAGAAAAAGATAATAATACTGACATAATAAAGTTTAATGTCATATGCGGTTATTGCTTATAATAGTAAATTCGAGGCTCGAGCACAAATACAGTGCGGCCTTAAGGTAAGGAAGGAATACATTCAATAATTATTCTTCCAAGCATTTTTTTTTTTTAAATCCTTGAACAAGGCAATTTTATTTTTTGTCGAGCATTTTTCAGAAAATAAATTTATTATACAGGGTGGTCGCAGAAAAGATGGATAGGTAGTTGTTTAATTTTTTTAAATAGACACCCCTAATTTTTTTTATATTTTCGGATTTCTGACAAAATTCTACGTATTTTTCATGAAACATGTCCTATACCTAAATTCACAGATTAACTCGTCTTAAAGATAGGAAACTTCCATGTAAAATGTTCGTTCGGAGCTGTTTAAAAAATTACACGTATAAGAGTTTCATGACTGCCAAAGCTATGCGGCGCTAGTATAGGAAAGCCACAAGCAAATGTCATCTGTGAAAGAATGTAATTCGTCATTGTATTTGCCATTAGTCAGCCGTTTGATGTGTATTGGTGTTCTTCTTGTTCTATGCTATTCTTTTTTTGATTTTCTATCAATTTTTGGTAAAACTTTGACTTCTTAATATGTTTTTAACCAAAGAGACTTTATGTTACATGTAGGTAAACATTGTGGAAATGGTTTTAGTGATGGTATTTATTTGCTATTTTTGACAAAGTCATTTGTGCACTAAACTTTCTAGTGTTTTTTTTTTTCAATACCGTTTTCTGTTGTGTCAAAGGCTGTTCTGTTAAAGAAGGAGATAGCACTGAAATGTTGTTGTTTTATTTCCAAAAAATAGGGTTTAATAATGAAATGAAATTGATTAGACAAATTATTTGAAAGAAGGCGGGAATCACGTGACTACTGCCACAATACTGAACACACCGAAGTGCACACTAGCGCCCCATGCTGTGGCAGTCATGCAACTCGCTGCATGAGTAAGACAAGGATAGGGAAAAACGCCTGAGTTTCCTATCTTTAGGACGGGTTAATCTGTGCCTAAATTCAACTATTTCGGAAATATTGACAGTTGGAAATTGAATTTTTGCTACTTTGACAGAAACCTAAACGGTTAATTTTATATTATTATATATTCTGTACCTACTGGATTTGAATAACATCAACCCGAAGGAGACAAAAGAAATCGTCACAGCACTTCAAGACCAGAAGAAGATTTTGCAAGAAGTCACTGGACAAATTGCGTTGAATCGCATCAAGTTTTGGACGATTTTACTGTACTTATACATTTTTATTAATAATTTTTTTACTTTGCCTATAATTTGCTTTTGAAAAAACGCTTAAATAACGTTATAAAGATATCCTCAAAGGAACAAAGGAAGACATAGAGTCAAATTTATAGTCGCTCCTTGAGGTTCCCTCAGACCATAAGGGAGCCCTAAACGTTTAGAATTGACATGTCAAACTTGTCAAATAGTAGCAAGTGTCCATTCTAAACTCTCGACTACAAGGAAGATTCAAGGAATTACTATAAATTCGGTTCATAGTTATTTAAGAGTTTTCCCGTTTTAATCACATATTGCTTTTCAGCTTTTATATTATTTTTTGAATTTTTTGATTGTATAAAATCACACCCATTAAAGGGTATGTTTTCAACTAAGGGTGGAGGAGTTATGTTCCACTAAACCCCCGCATTACGCCATTGCTTATATCAGCATATTAATATTATATAAAGGAATCTAGGATTAGAATCTAGTTAGTTCATTTGTACCGTTCTTAAGATAATGACGTTTTTTAAAAAGGATTTCCCGTTTATCAGTCACGTAACTCTCTAAAGCGCAACCTTTGCCCGTCTCTGAGTGGTAGTCTCAAAGTTTCTCCTCCGGAGATATCGAGACGAGATTATCCAGAGCCGAAATGGTACATTTTTGGATGGCTTCTGGCATGTCCAGGTAGTGCTGGACTATGCAGGTATCAGCTTTGAGGCTGATGGGCAAAATTGCCAGTAAACCAACCAGTAGAAGATTCATGATTCATTTTATTACTGAGGTTTTTTTAAATTTTGTAATAATAATGTACCTACCTACTTGAATTCGATAACATTTATAATAATTGATAATAATTTACTTGCTGAGTGCGGAAAAAACAATGATGAGGTAATTACAAAGAAAAGTTTTTAGATAAAAGTTGAATATTTCGACGAGTTCTTCAAGAAAGTTCATTGAGCTATTCGTCTACGACTCTAGATTTAGGTTTTCCAAATTGAATATTTACAACAATTTTTTTGTAGAGAATTCATTTCTCTATCGAATAAGATATGATTCATTGAAATCGGTCCAGGCATTCGAGAGTTATGGCCAATTTAATGAGACCATGTCAGCTGGCTAAAGCGGTAAAATGCCAAGAGGCATTCTCTCTTTATTTTAACCTTTTCTATCCAAAAAATTTCTTATTTTTCCGAAATTTTGAAATTTAAATTTTTCACATAAAAGCTGGAAAAGTCCTGGAAAATGGAAAAATTAAGGGAAAAGAAAATTAGTTTTGGGACTTCTTGGGATCTCCTCTACGAAATGGCTATTTTGAAATTTCGGAATTCTGAAATTTTGACTTTGGTTTTTGGCCCTATACCTTCAACACAGAAAACTCGTCGTAGAGAAAAACTCTTCACGGGCAGATTGTAGAGCTCAACGATATCTACAAAAAAGCTCACTGAGTCTTACCACTACGACTTACGGTTTTCCAGATATTTTACTTGGAACTTTTAAAATCATTGGGTAAGCTTATGATTTTTTCCGGCCAAAAAATCAAAGTCAAAATTTCCCAAATTTTCTTTGATTACGTCATAAAGGAGGTCCTAAGGAGTGTCGGAACCTATTTTGTTTCCTATTTTTCCAGGAGTTTTCGCTCGGCCCTTTTATATGTTTCCAAGCAAAAAAATGGAAAATCGAACATTTCGAAAAAAAAATTTTCACAACCAAAATCCTCGATTGATCGCAAAGCAAATGTGGCCTTATTAAACCGTGCAAATTTTAAATTACGTACAAATCCTCTTCCATAATTTACGCAAATTGAAACATTTTAATTAAATACACATTTGACTTTCTAGTTAGTGCATTAGTAATGAAAATATCAAGGGCAAATTAATAGTACTCTGGCAAAAATACTGAAATAATGTGCAATAAAACGTAAAATGATTACAGAATCATTTGATTGTGCACTATAGAATTTCTGAATAAAACCACAAAGTGACGTGAGTAACTTTATTTAACAAACAAAATTATCAGGCTCAAAATTACAGGTACTATTGTGACCACCTTTGAGTAGTACTTTACTGAAAGTCCAATCGAAGCAACCAGCTTCAGCGCAAAAAATATAATAGGGTACTGCTTTGTCTTCTAAAGTACCACTAATGTCGATTAGCTGCAAATTTTTAATAGGGATGTTATTGGTAGCTTCACTGGGAAACGATGAAGAATTCCCTGGCAAGTTCCTATAGTTCTGCTGAATGTTGATACCATAACTTCCTAAACCTAATCAAATAATTATTAATTAATCAAGAAATCAATTAAACAATTACCATGCAACACAATATTACTATAAGTAACATTTTCAATCACCCCCAAACCACCATCTACATGTGTTTTGATGTGAATCCCATTCTGACCCCCCATGAGTACGGAATTCATTACGGCAACATTTCTGAGCGTGTTCTGAGCGATAGATTCGTTACTGAAGCCCACCGAGATGCTCAGACCGTGTCCCCCGTAGCAGGTCAGGTCGTCGATTACGATTCCATTGCCGCATCGGATGGCGACGCAGTCGTCTTGGTTAGTGACGATGCTGTTTTTGATTTTTATGTTGGTGCCGTTCCATACGTCGAAACCGTCCGTGTTGTGACCAGCTCGATCATTACCTGCCACACTCTATGAATAATGAGATTATAAATTAAGATAATAACTTCTTAAGTACTTATTTGTTTCAAAAATTGTAGTATTTTTTAGGCAATTATTGTTGAGATAACGTATTTTTCATTGTCCACTGATAAAGTTCGAGAGGGTTCTAGAAGTCTAGAGTAGTTCTTACCGGATCTCCAGCTCCATTATCAATATTCCACTCGGACAATACAACATCGGAAGAATCGGCCAAAAGGACACAATGTACCGGTGAATTCAAAATGTTAATACCTTTCATGCTCGAATTGTGAAGTTGTATGGTAAAGAATTTCGGTTTGAGGGAGCCCCATTCGCCCAAACCGTCCCAATAAAGTGGCCCTTGGCCGTCCAAGACAGCGCCTACGTTTAATAAAAATAATAATATTTTAAAACATTACTACAATTTACCTGTTTCTCCTTCGATAGCAACATTGGTACCATTGATAACCACCAAAGGACCGTCCCATACGGCGTACCCGAAAGTGGTGGTGCCTCTAAAGTACAACCTTTGCCCGTCTCTGAGTGGTAGTCTCAAAGGTTCTCCTCCGGGGATATCGAGATTGTCCAGAATCAAAATGGTACATTTTTGGATGGCTTCTGGTATGTCTAGGTAGTGCTGGACTATGCAGGTATCAGCTTTGAGACTGATAGGCAAAATTGCCAGTAAACCAACCAGTAGAAGATTCATTTTTTTACTACGTTTTTTTTTAATCTTGTACCTTTATATTAATGTAGGTACTTGAATTCGATAACAATTGTAATTGATTATTTGTTTGCTGAGTGCAAAAAAAACAATGATAAGTGGAAAAGGAACAAGGTAATTACAACTCGTGAAAGGAAAGTTTTTTGATATAAAATGAATATTTTGAGGAGTTCTTCAAGAAAATTCATTTAGCTTTTCGTCTACGACTCTAGGTTTTCCAAATTGAATGTTTACAGCAGACTATCTAGAAAGTTTCAACTTTGATCAGCTCGCTGAAAAAGCATCCCTAATTAAGCGTGCAAATTGTATAATATTGCGATTTTATAATAAATATATGGCATTTCTTATTTCTTTATCCAGCATATTGAATTTTTTTATCGAGCATTTATTATTTTTTTTAACGTGCCTTAATTATGACCCCTTCCAAAAACTCCATAATCCTAAGTCTATCTATCTGGACTAGAGTAATCCACTTTTTGTTCACCTATATTATTTGGAAAATGTGTCGAAGGCGAAAATTTTAAGTCATAGATGTATCGCATTAATAAACTTGTTTCTTTATTACATATTTAAATCCTGCTTTTAAAAAAATGCATATTGGCGTCTATGACGAAACCCAAGTTATAGGGGATAAGAGGACACGCCCAAAACTTGAGTAATCATTCTACAGAAATAAAACCCGAAAATATTCCTCTATTTTCAAGGAATTGAAATATATACAAAATAATAATATGGGTAAAAAGAAAAAATGAGCGAGTCTGCTTGTAGGTACCGAGAACATCTCGTTCGGTGATGATAATAATAATACTGAGGGCGGGTATTATAAACTATTTTGACAAATAACTAATATCTTACTTCTCGAATGACTTGAAAATGAGATATGACGTCATTCCAGAAGTTAAATTTCAGTTAACTATAATACCCGCCCTAACTGGCAGCTCCAATCTTGTGGCCCAATTCTATAAAAATATCGCATACGAAATTTGATTCGAATTTGACAGCAATGTAAATTAAATGGGAAGCATTCGAAATCATTTCAAATTTCGTATGCGATATTTTTCAAGAACTGGGGTCGTATTTTCGAAACCATGCGAATTCTTTCGCATGCGATCTAATTCGAATGAAAAAACGTGTACGAACTAAAATGCGTATTTTTGAAGGCCCTTCGAAAATTATATCGTTTACGAGTATCATTTGCGTTGGCATCGTCGCAAATTCGAGTATTCGGTAATAGCCATTTCGATCAATATAAAAACGAAGAAGAATTTTTTGACATCTGACTTATTAGACTATCCAAGATGCTGTCGAACTAAAATTAATATGGCCGCCAAGAGGCACACGAACCCTTTGTTTATGTGCTATTGAATGATGTTATGAGTTTTAAATAGTGCTTATTGTGAATTATTTGCGTTGTTATACCTAAAACTGTTGTTTTTATTAATGTTAGAAATAGTGCATTTGAATTGTGTATGCAAATAGGAGTTTGTGTTCCATCTGCCGGCCATATTTTGCTTGTCAAAGTCACGTGTTTTGGATAGGCTGTTGTTAACCTTTCCTTTTTTGTATTTTGTGGCTGTTAATTGAGTTTATCCATTGAATTTATTACAAGGTTTATCATAAGTATTTTTGAGTCTATTCCGCCGGTATAGATCTCGTTGAAATAAATTTTGTGCAACGAACAATCATGGTTTTTGGATGGGGCTCTAAAAGCTCTATCAAATCCGAGGTGAGTGGCTTCGTCATGCGATATAATTTTCGAAACTGAATATCCGAATATTCTTCCAGTGGATCAAGAAAGGGATGTAACACCCTATCCCTACGATCTGTCAGTATTTCCGCTTCTTCGAGGGCATCAATAACATTTCTTTCGATTAAATATCCATGCCAGCCATTCCAAAAACTGTCTTTTAATAAAGCTGGACAATTTAACCCACAAATTATTTGGAAACGAATGAAAAGTCAAAAGGAGAACGAAGAACGAACACAATTTCCAATTTGCAGAACGTATTTGGGTACATAAACAACATATATAACGTATATAAACAAAATAATAAGAACTTCAAAATTCATGCGAATTCCGCCTTATTCGTATGCGAACGGCATTCGAATGGTTTCGAAAATACGACCCCGGACCCTGCACGCGTAATCATGGTTCCAGAGACGATCCAACCTAATTCTGTAGTTTGTGCAAGTAGTCCATTTGTCATCTTCTTAATACCTTCCAGAATTATGTCTCCATATTCTTCAGCTCCCAGGATAATATCTACTGGTCCTGTCAGATCTGATAACATTTTTCCATTAATTAATTTCTACGTTGTTTTGTTTTGCAGGAAGTGATCTTGGTAACCTTGATTCTATAGATGCTATACATGGCACTTGGAGTATAAATTTACTTGCGAAACGAGTCCTATTTGTTGCTTTCATTTGCCACTTGGACGTGAGAGGCTCACCTCCTCCTACTCCAGTTATATCTGACTGAATGCGTTGTCTCGGAATTGCTGACATTGTGGCAGCTTCCTCAGTTATGAAGGATGACTGAGAACCAGGATCTACTAGTACACGTGTGTGTTGATCTATTCCATATGTCTGCTACTCGGACCATTGCGGTGGCTAACAATACCATCTCGTCTTGTCTCTGGCAATAATGATTTGCAGAGTTACTATGCCGAGAGCTCTGAGAATCTTGGTTTTGATTCCGCTGATCTTGCCGATACCAGGGGTCGTATTTTCGAAACCATGCGAATTTTTTCGCAAGCGATCTATTTCGAATGAAAAAAGTCGTGTACGAACTAAAATGCGTATTTTTGAAGGCCCTTCGAAAATGATATCGTATACGAGTATCATTTGCGTTGGCAACGTCGCAAATTCGAGTATTTGGTAATGGCCATTTCGACCGATACAAAAACGAAGAGGTATTTTTTGACATTTGGCTTTTCAAAAATACCAACACTCCCTATTTTTGCTGTTAACCTATAAACTATCCAAGATGCTGTCAAACTTAAATGAAAATGTCTACCAAGAGGCACACAAACCCTTTGTTTAGGTGTTATCAAATGGTGTTATGAGTTTTAAATAGTGCTAATTGTGAATTATCTACGTTGTTATATTTAAAACTGTTGTATTTATGTTAGAAATAGTGTATTTAAATAGTGTATGTGAATAGTAGTTCGTGTTCTTCCTGCCGGCCATATTTTGCTTGTCAAAGTCTTTTTTGTATTTTGTGGCTGTTTATTGAGTTTATCAAGTATTATTTAGGGCGGGTATTATAAAACTACTTTGAGAGTTAACTTAAAGTTAACTTCTGGAATTACATGTAATTCAAAAAGTTAATTTCAAGTTAACTGTCAAAGCAGTTTTATAATACCCACCCTTAGTCTATTCTGTTAGTATAGATCTTGCTGATTAAATTTTGTGCACCTAATCGTTGAGATTTCCTTGAACGTCCTTGTTTTTTATAACGTTAATTAACAATCTTGGTTTTTGGAGGGTTTGTGTCTGCTGAACAAAAGAAAGATTTGATTAGCTTCATGGAGGAGCATCCAGAACTAAAAATCTGGAAAATTCAGCTTTCAGGAGCTGAAAAACATTAGAAACATTGGCGCAAAGTAAGCACATCAACCAAAGTTCTTCGAGGGCACCAATAACATTTCTTTCGATTAAATAATCCCAGCCAGCCATTCCAAAAACTGTCTTTTAATAAAACAGGACAATTTATAATCCGCAAATTATTTGGAAACGAATGAAAAGTCAAAAGGAGAACGAATATCGAACACAATTTTCAATTTGCACAACGTATTTAGGTATAGGTACATAAATAACAAATATAACGTATATTAACAAAATGATTAGCACTTCAAAATTCCAAGCAATGCGCAGAATCAAGTAAAATCGCATGCGAAATGGGACATTCGACTGGTGGAGACCCACTCGTGTAAACGTACACGAACCAAATCGTGTACGGACCGTTCGAAAGTGATTCGAAAATACGGAACCCCAATTTTCATTCGAATTTCGGCTTATTTCGTATACGAACGGCATTCGAATGGTTTCGAAAATACGACCCCTGAGCCCCGGTGGATTAATTCACTACACAAATTTACAGCAATCTACTACCGATATGAATATCTTATGCTACTTCAGGCCGGAAGCGCTGAGGTAGCTGCGAACTAATCACTGCGCATGTCACATCCGCTTTCACATTTCCGTCCCCATTTACCCTCTTTCCGCCGACAAAGTGTTTACGCATCAATAATAGAATATTATAATAAGTATGCTTTGGTAACTTCACCACAAAAAAAATTAAAAGGACGAGCCCTAGTACTAGGTGTTTGTTTATAAATGGGACACTCAGTAGCTTTTTTATTATTGAAAATGAAGGGACATTTTTGTGAAGCTAATTTTCGAAAAAATTTGAAAATGCAAAAATATACAGGGCAATCCATTGAAAAAAAATTTTTTTTGGCGCACCCTGTATACTTATGACGACAAAAAAAAATTGTTGTTGCGATTAGGATTGTTTCAATTTACCAAGAAATTTTCCAATTTAAACATGCCGTTTATTTGCAATAATAAAAAATTTACTGAGTATTCCATTTATAAGCAAACACCCTGTACAACCTTACCTAACCATGATTTTGTCTAACGAATAGCCTGCTAGGCGAGTTCGGTTAATCCTCTGCGAGCTAGAAGATGATATTGTTGACAGAAGCTCACGTCATCTTTCATTTGAAGTTACAAAACTGGTCACATGTGGTTGTTATCTTTTAACTCGAGTAGGATGAACCGAACTTTATTAGGAGCGCATAATAATAATCCCTATTCCTATAGTCGGGCCACCGAAGAAATATAGCAATAAAACCGGGCGCTAAACCTTCGAGGGGTCTGACAGGCAATAGACGAGCGGGTTTTCACCCACTTTATATTTTCTCATGATTAATCAAATTTAATAAAAGCATGAATTCATTTTATCAGTATGTGAGTATATGCATGAATGCGATTCCAATAA